TTTATTACCTTCATCTTCCAGCCACTAAACAAACTTAAAGAGGGAAGTTAGTACTATCACACAATTCAAATATAAACTCCACTCAAAGATTATTACATTGGCTTTGAGGAAATTATACATAGTATTATTTAGCATTATATATATCATTCTGAAAAGGGTGTGTCTAACACACAAGCTCTTGGATTACCACATCAATAGAACCTTCGAAACCATGAACAAGGCAAGGCATTCTTCTTCAATCAACGCAAGAGAAAAAACGTGGTTCAACATTTCGCTATCCCGATTTCCTTATCTTACAATTCTACAACTATACTGCAAGTACAATCCCACAAGCCAACTTGAAACTGATCACGAACTAGGAGTTTCTCTATACATGGCAGTGATTGATTGTCTCATATCCTGGCAAGTAAAGGCCTTAAACTGTCCCCAGTGAGCCTAGAAATCCCAATTCGCAGTCCAACTCTGGATGGCGTGGGTGGAGCGAGAAGGTAGCCACTAGGAAACATGCAGTAATTTGCACACACACACACACAAGCATATATATAGATATATATATATATATATATATATATATAGACAATTATACAGGAAAAAAAAAAAAAACTTTGGCTGGGTTCGTTGGGAGTGGAATCGAACCGCCCACTTCCAAACGGGAGGGGAATCATGGAAGAGAAAGGGGACTGTGGAGAGTGTCAGAGCCTCCTGGCCTGACACATACGACAGACCGGGCATGCCAACTGCAAAGAGTCTACAATTAAAAGCGAGCCGAGGAATCCGCCAACTGGGGCATGTGACTGGATCCCTCCACACCACCGTGATGAACTGGAACGTGATTACTAACTGGCGGATACATATATCGCCAGCGTCGTCGTCACCGAGCTGAGCTCATCACTGCCCAGCAATCTGCCGTGTTTTCTGGAAGTTCCAGCTCCAGGGACCATGGAACTCGCCGTCCTATTTTCAACGGGTAGCAAAAACATAGTAAGAACGCGGCAGCTCTTGTTGTAAGTTGGTGGTAAGGGGGTCTTTGTCACTTGGTCTGACTTAATGGAGCAAACGCCCTCTGCTAGATGGTCGACCTCGAGCGTCGATGATGTTGCTAATCCACCCAGCGGTGCAATTATTAGAACCCCCACCTCTTGCTTCATATCTCCGTTGTTCTCACGTTGTCTGAATCAAGGTCACGCTGTCACTCGCTCTCGCTCCCCCTCTTGTCGAACAAGTTATACTTAAGACTGGCGTATCATCCAATCATTGAAATTAGTATTTTTTAGATTTATTATCGTGCAACATCGCTTTTAGACATTCAGGGCCACATGAGCTTTTACATTTTGAATGCCATTAAAAAGTGGTGAAAACTTGCTGTTTGTTTATTTCCTTATTTTTGTGTTGTTTTGTTTGGTTTGATTTGGTTGTCTTTTTTTCCTTCTCCCGACACAAGTGGGCTTACGAAGTACTTGAGCTAGAGATGGAGCCATGATGGTGTACATAGTCGGTCACTGGTATCCTAATCATCCACCACTTGAATATGCAGAGATTGCCTTCGATCTCACTCAAATGGTGCTTCGTGGAAAATGTTCAGAACCACGGCTCATCACTCTGATTTTCCTCTCTTGCAAGCTCAGTCATGCAGCAGATGGCGAGAACAAACGCCAACAACAATAGGTCCAAGTCGCCTGGCTCTGGGTTGGTTCAGCGGCACAGTGACTAGCTCTGACGCCTGGCTCATCATTTTGGAGGAGAATTTTGACATGTGAAAAGTACCACCAGAGTTTCTTACCTAGGCCAGACGGTATTATGATACCGTTTCACAAGGTTTCTACTTGCTGGCTGCCACTGTGGGACGGAATTAGTGCATGATGCAGGGGTTGCTGCGGGAAAGCGGGGTGTTGAGTAACCCAAGTATAAATTTGTCTGACAATTTGGCCGCTGGCTGCACCTAATATATCCTCTCCTCCAATAACCTAGTACTATGGATGGAATTTGTCAGATGATGGTAAATTGGAATGGCATCTGAATAATGCCTTGAGAGTCACGATGGTCGCTGGTGCAGACGGAAGAGAACGATGAGAATAAAATTCCTGGGAGGTGGGATATTCGGGAGCCTGGGGTGCCATTCTCAACACAACTTCACAGCTATCTGGGGGATTAGTCTTTTAGAAGGGTGGCCAATTGGCTGCTATTAACTGTGGAAGCATGATCAGGGCTTTAACTGTGGTTAGTAACCCAATGAAGGCTCGGACGGCGCTAAGAAAGGTGAATCAGAAATCGAGGTTGAACATGATCCTGAAAATCTGGTGTGGTTAGTCTTATCAACCGCAGACGAACTTGCTGCGACTGCTAGTTTGGGAAAAAGCCTGCCATGTCTATTAGAGTTGTCGCCTACAAGACTGTATTGCATGGCACGAATCTCTGCATCTTGTTGGAATCTCAGAAAAGCTGGCAGGTATCCAAAAGGACCAGGATCGAATTTCGATGCGGTGGAGGTAGTTAGCATATTTTTAACGCGGTAAGCCGCGAACCTGGACCTGTTAGGTTTCGCTCTAGCCAGTTGGTTTTGTTAAGTTCTTAATGCTCGATGACAAATTGTCAAGACCGATGGAGAAGCTGTTAACGAGGAACAACACAGCCAGGACCCAGTGCAATATTTCTAGTTTACGTTGAACACAAGTTTGAAGGAAAAGAAAAGGAAAGAAAAGGAAAGAAAAGAAAAAGCCTTCGCCAATCAATAAAATAAAAAAAAATCGCAGTTAATTAGCTTTCGATCGCGAATCTTACTGCCCTCGTTGATCAACTCGAATTTCCACTAGAAACTTAAAAGTCATCAGACCTTTTCGACCTCCAGAAACTGCCAGTCATGACGTGGATGAATTTACAAAACCCTTGTTGTGTTCGAGGAAGCCGACAGAGAAGATAAGCGCAGGACGAAGCCTTGATCGAAGAGAGAATTTCCTCTCCCCCAGTTGAGGCACACTTTGTCCTATTGTCGTGATTGAGTGGACCATCTGAGCTTTGGATGTAACCGAGATATACCGTCCGATCCTTAGTTTGATCCATGCGTACGTTGGTAAGCTCACATCGATGATCCATGAGCAAATTACACTAATAGATAATGTGTATTTGATCCGCTCCGGAGTGACTCGGGATTATATTGAGTCTTGCAATAAAAACTTATCCAAGGATATACTTCACTTGCTCTACAGTAGTTGGACCAGTGCTCTTGGAGAATCGGGAGGTAGTTATAGGCCAGCCGGCTGAAAGTAACCTTCTTCTTGTGTAAAAACGGTAAAACAATCTAAGACAAATCTCAGAGGTTCCCCTACATAAAAGAAATAATAGAAATGAATAGATGACCGAGTTTAGACAGTAGGCGGCTTCTGATTAAAAAACAAAGGATTTGACTGATTGGTCTCAAATTTCGCTCGGCACGCTATATTGGACTTGCCTTTCGTGTCGCAACAAGCTTTCCACTAAATTGGTCCTGAATAAACATTGATGGGTGCTGGTGTTGGCAATCAACCTGAACTCCTGGGACAGCAATCAAAAACCATTAATTCAGAGTCTGATATAGTGTTCGAAACTTGAATGACTCCCTCCGATCAGAAGTTTGAACTGGTTACTAATGTGGACACCAGTAGTCAGCAGTAACTATTTTTATTTTCATGCATGCACAAGGTAGTTTTTTTATCATTTAATATATGTTGTCTGTACAAAAAGAAGGGGCATGAATTGCATTAAAACAAGTTATAATAGAAACTCTGCAATGAGGCTAAGACCCGACCTGAGCATAGGTGGATAATTTGAAGGATTTATTTGAAACGTATGAATTCTTTCATCTGGATTCGAATGCAGCTGTGGGCCAATTCCGAACTTGGCCTCTTTTCTGTCTCATCACCAGGAATGCAGTGGTCCTCAGAAATCTTTTATTTTTCTGTCTATGCGGCTAGCTCATTTCCGAATGCTATCTTAGAATATGGCGAGAAAATCCCTTCACCATAACTAAGAAAAGCTTAGTAGCCATGAGGTCCCCCAGAAGCTGGTGTCTAAACTTTGGATATCACGTTCTCAAACTGAATAATATCCTTCTAGAATTCAGTTAATTTTCCTCAGCAGCGCTGTCTATTGAGGAGAGTAATCACCAGGTAATTGGATACAATTGAATTCGCTCAAGTAGCTTCGGTTGAACTTTGAGGAATTTATGGGAGAATCAGAAAGAACTAGTACTGGCGGGCTTGAATCTAGTTCAAAACATTTAGGATGGGTTCTAAGTACCGGTAAAATTCAACTAGTTACAAAAATTCGATCGTGGATGACTTTCCATGTCCAGAGCCAGTTGGAACCAGTAGGTGCGTCAATTGCTACGATCCCGAGGTTTCAGAATTAAGGACTACTGAAGAATTATAGCCAGGTCTCTGGAGTCTGAACCTTATTTCATTTTAACGCTTGCTGTTAATGTGAGCAACCCGACAACGACTGGTCCCTCAAACTTACCTGCTGCCTGTGAGTCAGTGATCTATGAGCAGTGCAGACCAGCCAAAATTGACTATGGAAACGAGCATCTAGATGCTCAGCAAAATCTCCATGTGAAACAATTAACCTTGACACGAAAAAAATTACTCATTGAAAATTTAGTTAAAACACGGTTCAAATTCTTCGCCAGGACATACTCTGAAGTTTTACTGGCACATCTATGAGTAATAATTCTACCTGGATGTTACCATGCTTGTTACCCTCTAGAAAAACACGTAATATTATATTCTGGAATGTGATGAAAATACACTCCCCCTCTGTAAAATTGCCCACACGAATGTCAAGTGTACCTCAAAATGTTACATCTTTTCCTGAAAGGCACTTTTAATGTAAGCAGAAACTCTGTAGAAGTTGCTTGATGACATGATCTCTATAGATGTTGGTTTTCACTTTTGTACAGAGATACATTTCAAAAAGGTTGGACTGTAATTCTGGAATAAAGTTGCTGGCGTAGGAGGCGTGCGCAGCGATTAATGCTTTTCTTCACTGGATTATAGGTCATCATGCAACTTTACAATAGACATGAAAGTATACAGGAACCACTTCTGCACGACATTCATTGATCTAATTCCCTGCAACAATATCCAAGAAAATGGTATATACTTTTGTACTGATGCTTGTACAAATATTTGCTCCTCTTCGCGTGCTTCAACGTGGCGTAAGTCGTGTAATGTTCTCTGAAACATTGCTCCAGATGGGGCCAGGAAGTAGTATTCAGTTCTGACTCGAGAGTCACGCTTGGAAACTGTGAACTATTACTAAACTAGATGTTCTTACATACCAGGATCATTTGCACTAAGGTGTAAGAATGCCGTCAGTTCGTCTCTCAAAATTCCAATTAAGAACCTGTTTCACACCTTGAGAAAAGTAACGGCCAGACAAAGCATGTTCAATTGTTTCTAGAGTTCGCACCACGAGCCCTAGGTGGGCATTGATATCGAGCAGATAGTATCGGCTATTTGCAGAGGACTTGGACCTCTCTTGCGTCCAGTGGAAGAGGTTCATTCGATCGAGTTGTTGCCAAGGTTAGTGTAATTTGCACGCGAAAGGGAGAAATCGTCTTGGGGTCTGGCAGCTTGGAGTTGGAGCTCACAGCAGGTTTTGTGCGTCTTCCCTGCTCAAAATGCACAAATATTAAACGGATCTTTTTTTTTTTATGCTTTGCCTAGCAGCTCACAAACTATCTGAAATCGAAGAGCCACTATGGCTAATATTCATTTGTTTAGTGCACGTAAAACGAAGCTAGTATCACAAGCTTGTCTCTATCATCTCTACAAAATGCGAATATCTTTACATCCGACCGCCTCGTGAAAAACACAGACACAAATAACTCCCAACACGAAGAATTCAACCATTGATGGCGGTAGAAACTCTTAAGTCAACCCATCGGGCTCAGATTCCAAAGAATCAACCTGTGGTATGCAATTATAATCTTCCCACCCTCTTGCAACCACAACAGAATCTGCATAACAGATGCTTCATGTTTGAGGGGCGTATGGGAACTCACACAATGAGCGAGGGTGCACCGTGGCCCTCCTGGATACCAACGAAATTTCGGGTGGCTTGGACAAGAACCGTGACGTAAAGATTCTAGGTGCTGTTTTCGGAATCTTGCGAAAAACATGGAGAACTTGGAATCACACGCATGCAGAGAGGAGATTCGGCACCTGCTGACGCGCCGGTGATATCCACGGCCTCAGATGTCACGCTTCAATGATTGTTCCCTCAATCAATGCCTCCATGTTTTAGCACCGATTATTCTCCAGCATCGGGGTCATAAAATCGTTGGCAATTGCGTACATGAGTACACCTTCTCCTACTGGCACGAGTCTTTCACACAAGCAAGAACACTGGTTGCACGCTCATTTTTTTAATGAGATTTTTAATCGTTCGCCACCACATTTTTGCCAATCATCATGGGCTAAGAAGAGGCCGATATTAGTAAAGCAGAAAATCCTGGTTTGATGTAAGGCGGTTCCACTATTTGCACATTATACGAAGCTGGAAAAATTCAAGTGAGGGTAATTCACCTTGAGGAAGATCTGAATCTTGAGATCCACATGATAATGCAAATCTTCCAGAGCTCCAGGTCTAAATCTATTTTGGAAGGCGAGCGATTACTGTTACCGGATGCCTATCACTGAACTTCCGTCTAAATGAATGCCACTTTCACAGTTTCCTCGTACCAGCTAAACAGCAGGCTCCAGGTCTTCGTTTCTGTGCCTCAGCGTATAGTCTTTATCTAGAGCAGCAGCTGCTTCCTACAAATATGACTACCTAAGATATACCCAATCCTTATTGACGAACAGCACCATAATGGCGTGACCTATCGCCTAATGCTGCTCCATTATCGGAGATGAAACCTGGAATTATTAACATCCTCATCCTCATTAACCGCCTTTTAGGTTCATAAAAGGTTCAACTCAGAATATAGATAGGAACGGCGCGTCACCAGATTCTGAACCTCTTATCTACATGGCAGCATTCTGAATCTGTGATAAAGGCTATCCATGGCGAACAACACCTGGAACCTTTTGAACCAAGTTCCTGTGCAAACCACCAGAGACTTTGTTGGTAGCAGGGAATGTCATTGCTCATTCTACAAGTTTTCATACACATCAAATATGGGAAGATAATAAAAACAAAAATGAGAAGAGAGACGACTTTGCACTCATATTCTACAAAGAAATTCACATTGACGAATCACTGATTTTAAGAATTCATCACGGTCACGGTCTCACTTTATACCAATACTGATGGTAGCAATACTAGCATAAACGGCGCTGACGACATTGTCGGCCGTGACAGGTTTAAGGAATTTTAAATCCGTAAAACTTGAAGCTCTGAAATACTTATCCTGCTTCCTTAACAGCCACTAACAAGAAAACATGAAATCGCCTTCAACAGAAAGCAATTTTTATTTATCTTTCTCGTCACTATCTCAACTTTGAGCCCCTCCTCAGTTTCCTGGACAGTGTACACAGAGAAACAGACTTCGGAATCATAACCTGAGGGGACGGGTAGAAATGTTGAGCTCTTGACAACCTCCCGTACTTTGATGCCCTCTAAAGAATATTCGTCACCAGCCACAGAGGAGATCACCGATGATTTCATCTGTAGATACGCCTCAGAGACTTCTTTATGCTTCTACTTGTATGGATCCTCCAATCCCAGATACTTTCGACCTTTCCAAATTCTTCTCTCCGCCTTTCGTACGCCCTGACTAGATGAACATTGTCTTTCAAGCTAGCCTTCGTTCTGTCGGCGAAGGTTGGAAGCTTTCAACACCTTGTAACCGTTGATAGATTCCCATCGACTATCTTCCTAAGAGTTGGCCTTTTACTAGCCCTACACTTCCGTTGGGGATCTCAGCTTCCGCGTTTTCTAATCCTTCTCATATCTATCTTTCTTGCTCATACACTGTTGTTTCGACTCTCCAGAAGATGTCCGTAAAGGCTTCATTTGCAATTCACATACTTTTAATTTTTTTTATTATGAAAGCACAAATCTCCCCAGAGAATCAGAGGAAAATTTTACAATACCAGAGCTTCATTCAAAAACGAGATTTAATGTCGATGGTTGAGGGAGCCTCAGCACAAAAAACTGCGAAAACTTCTACATAATTGGAATCTATAAGGACCCAGAAGAAATTTCTACAGAGGTGCAATACGATGAAAAGTAACAGAAGAGCATAAGGAAGCTTACACAATCGTAGAAAGAGAAGAAAAAATCTCAACCCGGTTCAATGAATTTTCACCCAAACCACCCATAATTGTCAACTCCTTCATAGATGATTGTTTATCAATCGATTCTCTTTCAATCAACTCCGTCCTGCACAAACGTAAATATCAGCTCCTTTATGTGTGCATATTGAAGCATGACGAGGTAAAATTAATCATGCTGAAATACTTGACAGTCTCACTAACCAAAGCGCACACATAGGCGTAATCTTCCATGCACTATACTGACGCCACAAGACTTTGAGATACCTACACGACCTTCAAAGGTACATCACTATCAAGAATAAACAACTAAAAGAAGAAATCCCAAAAAAGACATACTCACCTTTAACAGTTCCAAGTTCCAAAAGAAAAATGTTTAGTATACAGCTAAAGTGTTACTCATTGTAGTGCTCTTCTCCATTTTCATTGTCAAGTTTTCTCCCATGTTTGTTGTGATGTTCTTTTCCACCCTTGCTGACGTCGCTGCACTAACACTCGTCATCGTCGCCGTGATTTATTTCTCAATTCTTATTGCTCTGCCTTCCACTTTCCTCATTACGCTGTCTTCCTTCATCTTTGACGCGAAGATCTCCGTCTTCATTGTGGTGGCTTTCGGCGAATAGAAATGAGCCATTTCCTCTTTGATACCATCTCTGTCACTGCTATCCCTGCGATCCCTGTGTTCAACGAGATCTTGGTCCACATACATCTCGCTGGCCAAACAGTCTTCCCCTACACACAGTTGTATCTCAAGAAACGCAAAAGAAGCAACGAGGTCAAAATCTTCGACAGATTGACTTATCGCCACTTGTCAAACAAAACACTTCAGCATCAAAAGTATGTGAAACCCAACAAAGAATCGCGATCAAGTCCTTGAAAGAACGCTCTTCTCGGCAAACCAACGATGTTACCATGCATATTACCTATGAGAACCACATAACATAAAATAACATAGGACATCCGGTGAGAATCAATCAGTCTCCCACAACAATACATTGTTCAACTAGCATCAATTACAGACAACTACGTCATCTCCGAAGCGCAATCCCATATAAACAACCCCAAACCCACCGAAAAACCCCGAAAAACTTACCTCTAATGTGGAACAACTTTCAAGCGTTCAAGCTGCTCCTCTCCCCGAAGCTCATTAACACACCCATGATAGGCTCTGCAAAAACTAATTCATCTTAACCCTCTTTCAAACCACCATCATCTTCCTCCTCCTCGTCGTCGTCTATCCCGATCTCATCCACAAAGCATGTACATCGTCCTACTCCGATTGTTTAACATGTTGCCGTCGATAACATTCACATTCCTACATTTACTCATCAATCAATAGTATGCGAATACTTGCATAAAAATAATCACAACGATTACAAATCACACAACCTTGATAACCTACCAGCATCAGCAGTATGAATATTGGCTCGACAACAATGAAGACAAATTACATAGCGAGACGCCGAGTGAGGGACGCATGGTCATTCCGGCTCGTACATCAAATCCCAGGCGGGGTGCGGTGGAGAGCCTGGAGCTGGGGTTTCAGCGGTTCAAACTTTCGGCTAATCCAACCTTCACGTTATCGCCTGGTTTCCAAATGTTCCAGCACCGCCCACCGAGGCTACGCGCGATACCTGCCAGGGCAAACGAGCGTCGGCAACGCTCGAGTTTTCTTGATCTCAACACACACACCAAATGCAACGCTTACCAAATGCAACCAAACTTATATATCAATGTATTTATTCAATGATATATAAGATATCAAAATGTCATCTAAATCTTTTTCTTTTTCTTGTTTTGTTCTTTTTAGAATATTGTTAGACAACAATGAATTATTCCATTTATAAGTAAATATAAATTTTTAATGTGGTTTTTTTTTCTCAATTCTCTTTCTTTTTGTTGTATATATTGTCTTCTTATGTTCAATTAATTATGTCTGTAAAAGTTGTTACATGTATTGTTCTATTCTACATATTTCTTTTTGAAATTGTTGCATTTTTTAAATCTATATAATCCAAAAATATACATTTTTTTAGTAGGAACTAAATTATTCTTACATCTTCTAAATCTTCTTGGAAGTTTGATCACAAAAACAAATCCAATGCTAAGAGAATGGTTTCTATGAGCTATATTGTTTTGAAGCAATGACCATCTTATTTAATATTAGTTTCATATCTTTCTATCCTATAAATATTTCCAAAACTAATGCAAGATTGTTTTTATCCTTTTGAGGAGAACACAACAAGCTAGTATTTATAAAAATTATTATTAATTTTTCTTCTATAAATTTTAATCATTTAATTTGGAGATATTCATATGTCAAATTCACTATGCTTTTAACAACATAGAGTCTTCTTAGATTTTCTACTAAGCTACTTGTGGTAGTAGCAACCTTCTTAGGTCTAAATTGAACTATCATCTAAGAAACCATGTTAGGAGCATCTTGTTGATAAAGAGCCTTGTTACACTTCTTAACCTTAGCAAATGCTTGCGTTAGTATTATCTTATTATTATAATTAAAAATAATTCTTAGAATAGTCAATTCTAAAACTTGTTTGTTAATCTTGGATAAAAAGATATTAGCAAGTTAAATTTCAGCAAATATGCCCCCTAATTCTTTTCCAAACCATTCCAAGTGGGCATACATAGTGCATAGTGTGTCTTCTTTTTTATATCAAAATTTCTAAATACATTATGTCTAATCATGCTTGAAGCCTTCATATTCACTTTCTAAATATGTAATGAATATTTAAAGTGACTTAAAAGATGGTGGTTCTTTCATTGCACATAAAGCCAAATTTATAGCTTCAGCCATGTATGATAAGATAGTAGGGTTGATGCTATTTAATGGCACTTTTAATAATATAACCTTCTTTTTAGTGTCTTTAAAGGATGTTCCACCTTCTTTTAGTAGATTTCTTTCTTTCATTGTAGGAATGAATTTAGAAATAATATCTTCTTTGAGAGAAAAAAATGAGTTATATTCTTGCCTTCCAATAGTGCTCTATCTTGTACAATTAAAATAAGTGCTTCTTAGTCCATATATCATACGTGAAAAATATCTTATGCTCTATATGTTATAGCAATAGTTCAAATGCATACTACTCATTAAATATAGAAGACCATTGGAATTTTATTTCCATTGAGGTTTAGAATCTTAGTTATCAATTTGGTAAAAAAATACCTCTAACTTGTCTTGACAACAAATCTCTCATCATACTATAAGGATTGTTTTTGATCTTATGAAATGTATCCATATTCCAAATCTAAAACTTCTTAATAGTATCTAATAATGAAATGAGATGAAAAGCTGTCACGGACATACATATAATTACCTATATGAATAGATAAAAGTATGTAAAAGTAGATAAAAGTAGGTTAATTGTGTAATATCTTCTAGAGAAGCTTCTTAGAAGCTTCATAGACGCTGCTTTGACTTTATAGGAGTCTATAGTTGACTTTTAGGTTAGAAACTTGGTCAATAAGTTAGCCATGTGCCACACATGTTGGAAGCTTAAAGAACAAGCTAACTACGTGATCCATCCATAAAAAACTTGCCTTGCAAGCAAAGGCATGTGGACTAGAAAGTCAACATATATTGGAGGTCTTATAGAACATCGCCACGTGGCTTCTAGTTAGATAGTATATATAGAGGCAAGAGTGAAGCCCTCTTCACTCTTGTCAACTCCTTTCTTGCTTCTAGTCCAGGTTCAAGAGTCTTTAGTTTCTTGTCTTGCGGCAATAGCCATTCCAGTTTCCTTTTAATATACATACTTGTTTATATTTTGACTTATTATATCGAGATAGCCTTTTGGTGTATATTTTTCCTCATCGAGTCTTTGTCCTTGACAGATTGACAAGAGTACACTTACAATATCAGAGCTTTGTTTTTTCTTGAGTAAGAGTGGATTACCCCTTTCTCTTGACAAGACATAAGCGTATTAGAAGTTTGCGGATTACCCACTTCTAAACTGATATTGTTCTTAGTATCTTCTTTGTTATCAAGTCTTTCTTTTCTTTTGTCTTGAGCAATATCAAACAAATTTTTCTTCTTAGTGTCATTATGGCAGAGCTTGTTGAAATGAAGAGCGCAATGGCACAAATGCAAGAGCAAATGAGGGAGTTAATGCTTGCGATGCATCAACTCAATTCACCAACACAGGAAAAAATAAGAATAGCAGAAAGTGGAGATATAGAGATGATCGGAGCTGCTTCAACATCTACAACAAATCACGTTCCTTCTCCAATTGTACAACACCCTATAAGCACTAGAGAACCAAGAATTACCTTACCTGAGAAATTTGATGGTACGAGATCAAAGTTTCGAGGGTTCATCAATCAAGTACAATTGGCAATTGAACTTCAACCGCAAAGCTATCCAACTCCAGGATCACAAGTTAGGTTTATTGGCACTGTACTTTCTGGTTCTGCTTTATCGTGGTTTTCGTCTTTTCTTGAACAACAAAATCTAATATTGGACAATTTGGAAGCTTTTTTGGCGGAGTTTCGATCTATGTATGGTGAACACGATGCAACTCGTGTTGCAACAAATAAGATCCGAATTCTGCGACAAGAAAATCGCTCAGTAACAGTATATGCTTCACAATTTCGACAACTTGCAATTGACATCAAGTGGGATGATGCTGCACTCATCAGTCAATTTCTTTATGGATTGCAATACGAAGTAAAGAAATTGATGCTCAACTTACCTGATCCTCAAACTTTGAGTCAAGCAATCGATTTTGCGGTAAAATGTGATAATCGACTTTTTGAATTTCGATCTGAGAATCATTCACGGGAACCTCAACGTTATTACTCAATGGCAACATCAACATCTTTGCCAAACGTACATTCGGAAATAGAAGACATGCAAATTGACGCGGTACGTTTTAAACCTCTAACTGAGCAAGAAAAGATTCGTCGTCGTCAAGAAGGATTATGTTTGTATTGCGGAGAACCTAAGCACACTGCTCAACATTGTCCAAAGAAATGATGCAACTATAAAATGAGGGGTACGACGGTCAAAGAAGACAACATGTCGGAAAACGGATTCGTCCAGCTACAATAGGGACCGTGCAGCTGGAACCTTGTACAATTCCTAATGAAGGTCCTATCCTCTCCTCAGAACCCTCTCCTTGTTTTATAATAGACTTATATTTAGGACCTAAGAATTACAAAGCCTCTGCTTTATTAGATTCGGGAGCCTCAGCATGTTTTTTAGATGAACAATTTGTTAAAAGTCGTAAAATACCCTTTGTACAGAAACCTAAACCAGTACATGTAGAAGTCATAGATGGTCGTCCCTTGTCTTCTGGAGATGTCACTCATGAAACTCATCCTATAAAAGTAACAATAGACGGTCATGATAGCTACATAGCTTTTAACAAAATTAAATCCCCGTCCAATCCAATTATTTTAGGTTTATCCTGGCTAGAAAAATATAACCCTCGAATAGATTGGAATTCGCGTAAACTTGACTTTTCCAAAAGCATTATTAATAGTTCTACGAACCAAGTAAAAAATTATAAGTCTAGTACAGTAAAACCCGTACTGATAGGTGCAAAAGCATTTATACACGCAGCAAAAGATGGATCAACTTTTGCTATTTATGCTGCACCTATTTCTGAAAACGTAAAGACTTCAAGTGGCATTCCAAGTCAATATCAGGAGTATCAAGACGTTTTTGAGAAAAAGAATGCAGATATTCTTCCTGAGCATCGTCCATATGATTGTTCAATCGACCTAAAGGAAGGAACTCAGCAACCATTTGGACCAATTTACAGTTTATCGCAAGATGAGATGGCTGAATTCAAGACATATATTGACGAGAATTTAGCGAAGAATTTCATACGCCATTCAAAATCTCCAGCAGGAGCTCCAATTCTATTCGTAAAGAAAAAAGATGGATCTTTACGAATGTGTGTTGATTATCGAGGACTCAACAAGATCACAATCAAGAACAGGTATCCATTACCTTTGATATCAGGACTCCTTGACCAGTTGAATCAAGCTAAGATCTATACAAAAATAGATCTAAGAGGAGCATATAATCTAGTACGGATCAAAGAAGGAGATGAATGGAAGACTGCGTTTCGAACCAGGTATGGACATTTCGAATATAATGTCATGCCCTTTGGACTCACGAATGCACCAGCTGCTTTTCAACATCTCATGAATGATGTATTTCGTGAATTCTTAGACAATTTTGTCGTCTGCTATCTAGACGATATCCTGATCTATTCCAAGAACGTCGAAGAACATGAAATACATGTTCGTCAAGTATTACAAAAACTTAGAGATGCAGGATTGTACGCCAAGATGGAAAAGTGTGTATTTCACACTACTCAAGTTGACTTTTTAGGATACATCATTTCAAATGATGGTCTCATGATGGATTCTAAGAAAGTCCAAACAATCGTGGATTGGAAGATTCCAAGGACGGTAAGAGATGTCCAATGTTTCTTGGGATTTGTCAATTACTATCGGATCTTCATCAAAGATTTCTCACGAGTTGCAGCTCCACTTACATGCTTGACTAGTAAAGATAAATTTCAATGGAATCAAGAAGCGGAAGCAGCATTTGAAGCCTTGAAGACATCGTTTGTCTCTGCACCAGTCTTATATCGTGTTGACTTTTCCAAGGTATTTTTTATGGAAAAAAATGCATCAGATTTTGCCTTGGGTGCAGTTT